TTTACTATTTTATCTTTGCATGATTTTTTATATTATTTTATGTATCCTAATATCTTATGTATCCTAATATTTTATGTATCCAGGATGTTTCCATGTAAAAGCCAAATCATGTTCAATAAATCCATTGAGGCAGTATATAGAGGCAGTATATTCTGAAATAAACTTGACATGAATAAACAAACTTAGCTTGTTTATCCGTGTCTACAGATTGTAAAATTATAGTGTATTTCCCTTACATAATTATGAACTGTGCCAAATCCTGTTCAGTGGAGGTGTGCGTTCATGCATACGAAGTAGGTCAACTGTACGTAGATTCTCCACAGAAGGAGCTTCCGAAATCGGGCTAAAGTTTTCATTCAAAATAACACTACATAATTAATACTGAATATATAAATACCAGTGGTGGCACCAGTGGGTGGGCTTGAGAGAAAAAACAATTCGTGGATGGAAAAAAAACACATTGTGCAATTTTTACAGAATTTAAACTAAATAAGCCTTTCAGATTGCTAAATTGTCGGAGTTGCCAGGGATTCTTCCTATGGACCCTTGAGTGGTTCTGGGATGTTCTGGCATGGCCAACGTATGCTAGGTTTTTTTCCAATGGACAATCGCGAGTGGTTCTGGGAGGCCCTTGAGCCAGATTTATCAAACTATAAATCAGCTGAAGTTCATCTATAAGTCCATTTTTTTGCTTAAGTCAAATTTATCACTAATGATGTAACTTAAAAATTGCTTAAAATTAAAAAGGCGAATGTACGCATGATTTTGCTAAGATGGTTTGATAAATCAGCTTAAGATATTTGCTTAGGGACTTCAAACATTTTCGACTTAAGACTTTTGCTAAGCTGGGATTGATAAAATCCCAGGCAGCCCGGACCAAAACAAAAACGTAGTAGTATTCCTGCAGGATTATAGCTCTCATTTGTAATTCATTCTATTCAGGAAACAGGCCCGTAGTCAGGTCATTTCAGGGGGGGGGGTTCTTTGGGCGTGGGTTCCAGGGGACTGGCTAAGGGCCCCGTGGGGTCGGAGGCGAAGCCCCGAAGCCAGAGCAGTTTTGGTGTTTAATGGGTCTATATAATGTTATAAAAGCAGTTATGTTTTGAAAAAGATCTATGTAATAAAAGGTAATATAATAAAATTGGAAAATATTTTCTGGGAATTGGCATGTTTAAATCACACCCAAAGAAAAAAAAAAACCTCATCGCATAATAAATATCTATATACTCAACACATTTATTATTATAAAACAAAACAAGCTATTATATAGGCCTATAAAGTAATTTACAAAGAATTATGCACTGTGCTTATTTATAATATATAAAACATTTAAGAAGTTTTGTCTTGTTTTAACTTAAATAATGTCCAGTAGGCCTATATAAACAAATAGAGTTGCCTGTTACAAAATAAAATAGGAGCTGAACTTCTTCTTGACTCTCATCTTGTACACTGAAAATATAGTACTATTTTTACTACGTGGCTAAAAAAGCACAAATATTGTCATTACTACAACTGACAGGGCCATCGTTAAATTAAGTCAGAGGCCAAAATGTAGCATCATATTGAATACGTCATCTGACATCATGGGAACCTAAACTTTAATTACAATTATTTGTTTACTAGGCCTAATTCGAAATTATTGTTTTAAGACTTTAACCTAATACATACTGATTAATAATAGCTGAGATTTGATGCACATTTCAGAATTAATAATGGTTTATAGTATCTTATTGAATATTTATTGTCTACCAAATGAATTATATATGAATCTTTAGAAATACAATTTTTACAGTATTAATCTTGTTTTTATATAGATAAATGTTCGATAAATACTATCTTTCATAAACAAACGAAATTCAGCACGTCTATTTTCATTCCAATCAATGGCGGTTTGCATACATGTGTACTGACGTCATCGTCGAATCCCAGGACTTTCGACGGCAAAGCTGGCAGTGGCCTGCCTGCCTAGATCCCAGGCCAACCAATAATAATTAACAAAATATATTGTTATTTTTTTTAATATAGTCCTATGGCGCATCCTGAAACCAGTAAATTGTCAAAATTTTCGGGGGCTTCGCCCCCTGGACCACTTTCGTAACCTTTTAATCGAAGCCCAACCAATGGCGTAACGCCTATAGATTCGCTAAATATTAGTATATATACATAAACTTCATTTAAGTTCTTAATTTTAAAGCTTTTTCAATGAATTAAATACTGTACAGTTTTGTACTGTATAAGCCTTAACGAAGTGTCTGGATTTTCGAGACCAGAGACTCGTTCTCTTTGGAAGGCCTACTTTGTGCGTCCGTGGAAAATCCTTTTTGGTAACTAAAACGTGATATCCTTTCCCCTGGCATTGTATGTTAGGACAAGAGTTTGAAGTTTGTGCGCATTTTCACCCATTTGATATTAACAAAGTCAGTACTTCACACACATTAGACCTATATGGCTTACAATATTATATAAAAGGGCATAATCGATCTTTACAGAGTGTCTAATTGATCTGTCAATTTTATACCAGGGGCCTACAGTATTGCATAGGAGTGTTTAACAATAAGAAAAATTGGGGAAACAGTTTCCTTTGAAATTTACTTAAGCGAGTGTGTATGAAACCGGGTCTATGGCAACTATAATTTGATACTACGTCTAGAAGTGTAGAGATACGGACCTTATTATTAAAAACTGTTGAGTTCTAAATGATTACAAGATGACCAAGCATATGAATGAATCAGTCTAAAATTATATTCGCAGATAGACCTATTATACAGCTAACCGCTAATGTTTGTTTTGCATGTCTATTACACACCGTCACTCACAAATGTATGTAAAAATTGGTCGTAAAATTTGATAACAAGTTGATCATTAAAATCTATTGTAAATATTTATTTAATTCCGTACACTGACTTTGTTTCAAGTTGTTTGTTTTCAATATTATAGCTGTTTCTTTACGATGACAATGTTTTGAAATCGTACTGTATACTCAAAAATTTGTTTTATGGGCAAACAGCAGAAGGATCTGAATTTTTACAGGTTGACCAAGCGTGTTGCTGCATCATTATTTTTCAGTTACGATCACTATTCAAGCAGAGAGCAGCAGGCCGATAATTTGTTTTTCCCACAGCTATTTAGATGTCGTTGTTGGTAACTTTTTTTTTAATTGTGAGTGTAAATAGTCTCTAGTGTATATACTGTAGATAAGAATTGTAGATAAATAATGCACATAAAATCGATTGTCGATGGAGAACGGCGTCAGTCATCTGATTAGTCCCATATTAATAGTACCGATATTTTTAATACTCCTCTTCCGCGAATTATTCTACTGACAGTGACTCATCTAATTCTTATATAATCACTTTAACATTTTAATCGAAATAGTTCACCATATCGTAAAACTTTGAGTACCCACCCAATTCGTTGGCGATCCTCACTGTATGTTATGTTAATGAAACATGTCATACTGTACAACAAGGGAATGTGTATTACAACATGCCAGTACGTATTTTTTAGATTTTGACGCACTCCGCTGTTGTGTGTGTCTGCTGTTGAAAACAAACTTCCTAATTTTGTGACTCGCTATGATGACTGAGATGGACCATGTTGATTTATTATGTTGTTTGGGAGGGAAAAAAGGAGTCAATTTCCCAAAAATGCTCCGTCAGCAAAGTTTAGTGTGCGCTATGGACGGCTATGGAATTTACGAACCACACAATCCACAATCATTAAATCGCAAATCTTTAGCTGCATTTGGTGGATTAAGTCGCAAAAATTTATCTTCTTTTGGTGGCGCCATTTACTTTAGGTAGACGGAGACCAGTTTCGTTACCGGTTGGTACATTTCTTACAAACATTCAGCCAAAGGCTAGTGAAAGTTTTTATTGATGTTTGCCATCCTTATGTGAGCTATCGTAAAGTCATGATTTGCCAGAGTTGCGTTCAATTTAAATCTCCGAACTTCTGAAGCTGAGATATTCTATGAATGTAGGCTTGTATCGCAGGCTACAATGTAAAAACGGGTGACCAAATAATGAATTAGGTGCTAAATTTTGATTTAATGCTGGGCAAGTTAAAAACAGACATTCCGCCCGAGTGGGACTCATTCATAAATTCGAGGGGGTTCGCTAGAAAACAGGGGGTTCACTAGAAAAGGGGGTTCATAACCCCCCCCCCCGGCTACGGGCCTGTGGAAACAATCCATTGAGAAGAGAAGGTCAGAAAGGGCAAATGCAAGATTTTATAAATGATGAGAAAATTACGTCTAATTCGGACGAATAATTTGACATAACAATACATGGCCAGCTTCAGGTGTTCTATCACATTTTAACAAAAACACGCGGCATGCCTAAATATGGTGATGATGACATCATATGACCATATATGCACATTGTGACTATATATGGGCTTATAACAGTGTTTTGTCAACGAATTTGATAGTGTGGACAGAGCTTTAAGCCCTTTGGGTGAAGCCCAGTAGGACACTCCAGACCCGCAGAGAACCGACATTAGAAATACAGAAATATCCCCACTGACCCTTAGGCTGCACAACCATTGTTTGGCTTTATCATCATTGTTATCATAAATTATATGTTGGGATATATTCAATATTATCATTGTCAATAAATACCGGTTCTCTCTGGTGGTAAAGCATTGTGTTTCCATGGATGTAATCAGTCAAACCTGTCAATTTCAACAAATTAAATAATTTCCTCTTGTAATATTTTATCAAAACTCAAACATGAATAATTCAACCAGTACAGTAAGAAAATAATTGACCAATCAGAACCGTTAATACTCTTTCTGCAAGCCAGAACAAGTTGACGAATCAGAGCCGTGAATTCTTTACTTCGTACTATTGATCCATAAGCCAATCAGAACCGCTTAATAGGCCCTACTTGACTTCCAATAATATTGCTGTGTAAGTCGACCAATCAGAGTCGTTAATACTTGACTTTCGTAATTATATTGCTGTGGAACTCAGGGCAGACCCGACACTCATTTTTCTGGAAGCATCAGTTACATATTAAAATTATAATACATTAACTGCAACCTGAATAGAATAAAATGGCGTCACCACGATATACAGCGTAAGTGTTAACAGCTATATTGTTTCTTTTACTTTTGTTATTAAGTGTGCTTGTATAGAGCATACTGTTAGAGCCTCTATGCGCTTTCCAGAAAATAAGAGAAAAAATGAAAAGGAGTGAGCATTTAAAAGGACAATTCAAAATCAAAAAGAAAAGGGGAAAAAAGGAGAAAACTAATTGAAACGTTGGTTTTTTTACAATGGAAATAACAAATATAATTCTTAATTTTGAATTGCTTTGAAAAGGATAAAATAGCCGTCACGGCTGATATCTAATTTTTGGAGTTCGTTTTGCAGATTGAAATTTACACTTTTGCTATTAACTTTACTTATTACTTTGCCAGATAATATATATATATATATAT